GCTCATTCTTTAATCTCACATCAAGTCTTTCAAACTCTGTCTTGTTAAGTTCTCATAATTTGACCTCATCCTACATATCCAATGAGATTTCTTCTTCCCTTCCCTTCCCCCCACTCCCCACTCCCCCAGTGTACTATTTCTGCTGTGTAGGGCCCCTCCTTTATGGTCTCACCTTTTGCTACCTCTTGCCCCTGGCCTCTTTGTCCAAATCCGAAGCGTTGGAGTTCTGACCCATGTCTTGCTCTCAAATGTCCCTCAGAATTGGAACTATTCATCTTACTTCCTAGTTTTACACTGTTTCTGTGATTTTATACATATGAGTTGCCTCTTCAATTATAAGCTTCTTAAAGGAAGTTTAAGTGTTTCATGGGAAACCAGTCAGTTCAGATGTGGTTCTAGCCAGTTCTTATCATTTTTTTCTGCTAATACCGGGTCCAAGCTCCCATGATCCCCCATCAGAACTTCTGCAATAGTCAAAGGACTTGTTTCCTGTTGTCTATTCTTCCCATTTCACAATCTATATGTAGGCTATAGCCAGTTGATCTTTGGAAAAATGCAAATCTAACCTGACACTTCCATGTTTAAAACTCTTCAAATGGGGTCCAGCACAGCAGTGGCTGGAACACTAAATAAACAGCCCAAATCTGCTGGGAAAGTAAGAGATTTGACTTTATGTAGATATCTTATATAAATTAGGCTTCTTCAATTTGAAAAAAAATCACAAGGGAAATGGGTAAAATATATCTAATCATACAACTATTGATAAGATGTACATAGGTTTCACTTTATAATAGGGTTCTACAAAGAACCAATAGGAACATACACACAGACACACACACACACACACACACACACACACACACACACACACACAAGAATCAGGGGAGCCAATGATAAACCATAGTCTGTGGGAAAGAGAAGATGGATGATGCCACTTACACTAGGGAGGGCAATCTACTTCACTGAGTCTACCAATGCAAATGTTAATCTCATCTGGTTAATCAAAACTTGAGATTTGTTTTGATCTTACACCCACACAGACACACATGGATATAGTGTTTAATCTGGGCACTCTGTGGCCAGTCAAGTTGAGACACAAAATTAACCACCACACTTTCCTTCCCAGAATAAAGTTGCCATTTGCAGAAGGTATAATAGTTTAAAGCAAATAAAAGGAAATCTTGCATAACATAGTAGGCAAATAATTTCTGTAAAGAATCAATTAGAAAATACCTTAGGCTTTGCACATCATAAGGTCTCTGGTACAACTACTTAAATCTGTCATTGTAACATGCAAGCAGCCATGCATAAAGAAACGGAAGGGGCTGTGTTCCAATAAAACTTTATTTACAAAAACATGTGGTGGGCCAGATTAGTTTGCTGACCTCTGCTCTAGATTAAGCAGAGTTGTAGAGGTTGGGGATGGTGATTATTCCAAGTACAATGAAAGCAAACTTGAGATTTGTTTTGATCTCACACCCTGGGTGTTTATTAAGCCAACCCTCCAAGCAGTGATGGGCGTGGGAATGGACATAGAACTGAACTCTGGCCACTGAAACAGAAGAGGAAACAGGCTGAGAGGCCAACATTGAAAAAGTCAGGTCCAAAAGATGGAAAAGAACCAAATCAATCAACGCTGGTGCCTGCCTCCCTTTGAACTTCCTGAGATGAAAGAGGAATCTTCCTGTTGTGGAAGCTGCTACAGATAGGGCTTCTGTAAAGTGAGCTGAAAGTATCCTAATGGACTCAATTATGTTTCCCCCAAAATTTCCTTTGTTTACAAATGCAATACTGGCTCCTCCATGTAGGGAATTTCTTATATTTTTAACGAGACATAATCACAGTATTTTACCTTTCCCTGAAGAGGGGTTGAGACTGCCATACCAAATCAGAGAAAAAAAGAATAGGATTGCCCAGTTATTCTGTAACCTTTATTCTCCTGACACAAGACAGATATCCTGGAAGCACAAGGCCAGCTTTGGGGGCTGATTCCTTTCAGGCTCTTCCTCTGACTCAACAGAGCCGACACTGTTGACCATTCAGTGTCTGCTATTTCATCCACTCATCTCTCTGTGATCAACACCTTGATTTTGTTCAGCCATCTGGAGGCTGTGTACTTTGGGAAAGGCTGGATTTCCCCCCAGCCATAGGGAGGATAATCTTAATTAATCAAACCTAATCATAGACATTCCACTTTCCTTGCCAGTACAGGATGGGCACATCTGTAATTCTGAACAGTGAATGTGGGAGAATTTTTCTTGGTCTTAAAAAAGGAGATGAGGGAGCCTTGAGTGTTGCCCTACACTTGAAGCTGTTACAGCCATCCTGCAAGCCCAAGGTAAAATAAAACAAACACACACACACAAAACAAACAAACAAAAAACAAACAAACAAAAAACATCTGAGCAAAGAGAAGCAGCAGAATGAAGAGAGCCTATGTCCTCAGTGATGGCAATAAGCCACTTACTTAAACCAAGTCTGGAATTGCCCTACCTCAGGCTTTTATGTTATTGGTGCCAGTTGAGCTTGTATTCTGTTAAGTGCCAACTGGAAGGCTCACTAATAAGCTGCCTTGGGAAGATTGCATCTGGGATTCTCCACTTGTCTAAACTGGTTAAGAAGCAGCATGATGTCTCTACTGCATTGATCTCTCTCAGAAGTGGTTTATATACGATGCATGGGTAAACATTATGGAATCTGTGAAGACTGTATGGTTACAGACTTCTTTTTAAATATTAGACAAGCCTAATGAATCAGCCAGGATGTTTCATACATCTAGGACAAATTTTTGTAGACTTTAGATTAGAGGCTGTTAAATCAATTTCTTTAAAATTCGAGACAAAGATTATATGAAAACTAGAGGCCCAATGCATGAAATTTGTTAATTTTCATATTACTCTTTTATTATGTAGGATAATCAGGTATCTTAATAAACTTAGAAAAGTTATTATGAGAAAATTTGAGTTTTGTCATTGTTTCCCTTAAATTTTTAGGCAATTTGTTGTTATTTAATTCAGCACTCTTCAATTATCAAAGCAAAACATGGTAGTCAGTTTTAGATAAAGAAGTTTGGCACTTAATGCTCCCTACCACCAGAAAAAATATCTTGTTTGTTTAAAAACTATTTATCTAATGCTGTGTGGGAAATTCTCGTTTTTGTTCTTTTTTGCCTGAATACATTTTAGAGTCTCCAAAATGTGGTGATTATGACTTTATATTGCATTGTCACCATGAGTAATAAAAATAATTATTCCATTAGTATAAAGAATACAGAAAATCATTATGCTGTATAATACTCCAAGAAATGATAAAGTGCCTACATTCTTTTAGTGGTACTTCCTAGCAAAATAAAGAGACTACAAGCATGTTCTTTTACTTATTTGGTTTAATTCTTTAGTAGAACATTATGCAGAATGGAACAAATATAATCATATACTTTTAAAGTTGAATAGAATAATTCATTATTACCAAGAAGATATAAATGTACCACCTCTCTTGCCCTGTGTTTTTAGCTTTAAAGAAAACTTCCTTCTTCTAGAAAAGATCAGCATAACGATGAGAGGGAGGACTTAGCTACCATATTTCTAATCAAGTCAACATCCATTCTTAAGTACAAATAATACCTATACTAATTTTCCCTTTGAAGTTTGTTGTCAATGCAACATGGGAGAGAAAAATGAACTCACACTGACTTTTGATCCTTCTACTTCTCCCCATCCCTTCAAAATTCATATTCTTTAATCCACAGTGTTAGAAAAAATCATATCAGATTTTTAAATAGGTAAGGAAAGAAGGAAGTAGAAAGGCTTTTTCTAATATTCTAGTAATGAATATGCGACTCACCTCAAAGTCTGCCGGCTGAAAATAGTTCAAAATTGCCATAATGAGCTAATTAGCTTCTTTTTCTTCTTTTCAACTTCTTTGTCCATTCAAACCTCTAAAGGAAAAAATATCCCACAATAATACATAGTAAACATTTATGTAACACAGTTTTGAATAACGTTTCATATGTATTATCTCTTTTGCCTCTACTAATAATCCTTTGAAGAACATAAACACAAATTTAAAATTTCTAGTAATAGATATGAAGGCAAGAGGCACAGGCCATTAAATCCTCCCTTCTGACTCAATAACTATGCCAATATTGGTGTTGTACAGGGATGACAGATTGATGGATATCATCCTTGTTCAGAAATCAACATAAAAACTCTTACAGTTACTGATGAACAAAAATAGATCCAGAGACATAGAAACATCTAACAGATCATCAAACCTCAGAGGGAAGGCCGGGGAGGGTGGGAGTGGAGGGGATACGAGATCAACCAAAAGACTTGTATGCGTGCATGTAAGCATAACCAATGGACACAGACAATAGGGGGTTGAGGGCATGTGCTGGGGAGTGAGCAGCCAGGGAGAGGTCAAAGGGGGGAAAAGGAGATTTATATAATACTTTCAACAATCAAGGATTTAAATTAAAGAGAGACAGACATTAATCATTAGTAAAAACAAACAAACAGACAAAAAACTCTCTCAGTGAGAGGAGGTTGTTGGGCCTTAGGTAGGGGGACAGCATTAGGGAATGTGACCTGAAGCAGGAGAGAGCCAGGGATCACAGAAAAGAGACAGATTGGAGGACAGTTTCCCACAGGCCCATTTTCTTTCACCCTCAATTGCAGGGCAAGAAATCAGCAGTGCTGCCTGGCTGGCTCAGTTGTTGAGCATCGACCTATGAACCTGGAGATCATGGTTTGTTCCCTGGTCAGGGCACATGCCTGGGTTGCTGGCTTGAACCCCAGTAGGTGTGTGCAAGAGGCAGACAATTAATGATTCTCTCTCATTATTATGTTTCTATCTCTCTCTCCCGTTTCCTTCCTCTCTGAGATCAATAAATACATATTAAAAATAAAATTAAATTTAAAAAAAGAAAAAGAAATCAGCAGTGTTAACCCAAGGCAGCAGTGTAAGATCAGGGCAGGAATTTGGCTGCAGAAATCCATTGCTCAGGCTGACAGGATAAATAATTTATTAAAATTACCAAAGTCTGATACAAATTTCTCATCACTATGTTGTACACCTAAAACTAATATAATATTACATGTTAATGGTAATTTAAAAATAAACTTAAACATTTTAAAGTCTATATAAGTAATGGCCCAACAACAAAAATCAAAGTATAATCTAGTTCTAAAATTCCAGAGGGTATCAAAATCAATATGGAGATGATGCAATAGAAAATAAGAAACTCTTGCTAAAATTCTTAACCTATAAGGGATGGGTGGATAAGATTTACAAATTAATAACATCTAAACTTAGATGGAGCAATAAACACAATTATTGGTCTTATAAGTTAGACCTAATTATCAGATATAAAGAAAAATAGAATTTATAGCTATAACACTATTAGAAAATAATTTTAATATCCAATGGAAGTTTGAAGAATAAAAAAAAGGAACACAACAAAACATGGTAAAAAGAAATCAAGAATTAAATATACCTAAATGTCTCAATATTACAGTGGTTACAATAAATATAAATGGGTTAAACTAAATAAAAGCAGAGATTCTCAGATTGACAGAAAAACAAATTTCAGCAATATACAATTTATAAGAAACATATTAAAAATAAGTATATAAAGAAAAGTTGAAAATAAGGGAATAAAACAATGAAACAGGGATATGAAAAAAAAGATATCTGAGGCATCAAACTTACCAAACTAAAAAAGCATAAAAGGCACAAGCAGGGTTCTTATATACTGGTTAAAGGAATAAAAAATCAAGATAGCATAATAAATGCAAAAGCCTTCTAAAAACTAAGGTGAAATTCATATAAATATTCTTTCCATTTTTGAACATTCACAAAATCTAATTCTATACCATTCCACAAAATATGAAATAATCAAAGTCACAGGGAATATGCTATTTTCATTCAATTAAATCAATTTGCAAGTCAATAGAAAAAAATTATTTAAAAATTTTATGTATCTCATAAATTAAAATAAAGCACCGCTGAGATAAACAATAATTTTAAGAGTAAATCCTTGGGCAAGTTATATAAAATTTAGGATTCATTGATAAAAAAAATTATTATGTGTCAAAATGTATATGTAATAATAATACTTATAGGAATGTTACAGAATTGACTTCATCTTCCTAAGTAATGCTGAAAGCAAATGAGCTAACTATTCAATTTAAGAAGATGGAAAAGATAGAAAATATATTCATTAGGGAAGAAACAATGAAATATAGAATTAAAATAAAAGCAACTGGATCAAATGGGAATTCCATTTTTAGTTTTAGGAATAAATCCCAAGAAACTAGAAACAGCAATCAGAAAGGATATATGCACCCCTATGTTCATAAGAGCACAATTTTACCATAGCTAATATTTGGAAACAGCCTAAGTATCCATGAGTTGATGAGTGGATTAAAAACCTGTGGTACAGATGGAATTGGAGAACATCATGCTGAGTGAAATAAGCCAGTCAATGAAAGAGAAACACCACATGGCCTCACTCATTTATAGATAATAAAGAACATTATAAACTTATGAACCAAAAGATAGATATAGAGACAGTAAAGCAACAAGCAGACTGTCAAATTACAGTGGGGAGGGTAGGGAGATCTGGGGGAGATAAGAGATCAACTGAAGGACTTGTATACTTGCATATAAGTACAACCAATGGACACAAAACTCTGGGGAGGGAAGGAATGTATGGGGGGGCAATGGTAAGATGTGTACACAGGTAATAATTTAATAAAAAATAAAAACAAAAAATAAAATAAAATAAATAATTTTTTTTTAAATTAAAAAAAAAAAAAAAACCTGTGGTACATCTACACAATGCAATACTACGGTAAAAAAGGAAGGAATTCTTACCATTTGCAACAGCATAGATGAACCTGGAGAACATTATGCTAGACAAAATTAGCCAGTTGGAGAAAGATAAATATCACATGATCTCATTTATTTGTGGAATATAATGAACAACATAAACTGATGGACAAAAACAGATCCAGAGACAGAGAAGCATCGATCAGACCATCAAACCTCAGAGGGAAAGTAGGGGAGAGTGAGGGTAAAGGGGAGAGACCAACCAAAAGACTTGTATGCATGCATATAAGCCTAACCAATGGACACAGACACCAGGGGGTGAGGGCATGTGTGGGAGGGAGGCAATAAGGACACATATGTAATACCTTAATCAATAAAGAGGGGAAAAGAGAAAAACAATTGGAATGCTTAATAGAACCAAAATTTTGTTCTTTAAAATGACTAATTAATAGAAAAACCTATGACAAAAAAAGAAACAAAGCGAAATGAGAGAAGGCGCAAATAAAACAAAATTCTCTGAATTGCAAATGTTAAGTCTTAAGATTTTATGGTGCAGTTATGTGCTTAGTGAGGAAAATAAGTTTCATACCTAAGGGGTTTTCACCAAGGCCCTCTATATCTAGCTATGGTCTGGATATTTGTGCTACCCCCACCCCCAACCCCCAAATTCATACGGTAAAATCCTAATCTCCAAAGATGATGGCGGCATTGGGAGGTGGGGCTTTTGGGAGGTGCTTAAATCATGAGGGCAGAGCCTTTATAACAGGCTAAGTGCCTTCAAGTCCTCCAGAAGATCCCTGGCCCTGCCACCGTGTGAGGACACGGAGAGAGGGCACCAGATGAACCAGAAAGAGGGTCCTCACAAGAAATTGGCCATGTTGTCTCCTGGATCTTGGACTTTTCAACTTGCAGAACTGTGAGCTATAAGTTTTTCTGCTGTTTATACGCTACACAGTCTGTGCTGTTTTGTCATAGCAACCAAAATGAACTTTTGTATAAAAAATTCATAATTTATAAGTCAAGAGGAACATGAAAGCCAACTCTTGGTGGGCATAAGCAATTACTACAGGCATACAGTGCCTGAAGGCTGAGGATGCTAAACATCTTGCAATAAGTTGGGCAGCTCTGCATGACCTAGAATTATTTGCCCAATACACCAGTGGGCTGAGGACAAATTGCTAACTTGCCCAGGAGTCCCTCTGTTTGGTTTATAGTCCAATCTTTTTTTTTTCTTTTTCTTTTTTTCTGCATCACCTTTGTTACAAAGGAATATAATTTTATAGAAAATAACTCCTAACAGAATCTTAAGGAAAACAAACACTTGTATAGGTATCTTGTTGAGAAAAGAGTACCCAAAATTTACAAATTGGTGACATAAAAGAAAATAAAAGAATTATTTGCATGCTTGCTCTTATATCAGGTAATGTGCAAATACCTGCCATATGCCTGACACTTATTTTAAAACTAGAGGCCCAGTGCATGGAATGATTGAAGAGGGTCCCCTCAGCCTGGCCTACACCCTCTTCAATCAGGGATCCCTCAGAGGATGTCCAACTGCTGGTTTAGGCCTGATCCCTACAGGGACATCCCTCTCGAAATCTGGGACTGCCGGCTCCTAACTGTTCACCTGCCTGCTGGTCTGGTTGATTTTTTTCAAAATAGGAAGTTCTTGCACCCTGTTTTCTACTTATATGTCCATTTTAACCAGTCATTTCCAGTTTTGACATGACTGTGACTTTGTAGGGGATTTTGAGAATGAATAGGAATTGGAAGTGCAAAGTGGGTTTGTTACTGTCTGAGTCACAGAAACTACAACATAACTACTAAAATTATCTCTGCCTCCTACACCCCAGCCTCTGTGGCTGAGCTCCTAAGAACTCAGTGAGGACACATATTTGATCCAAGGCCTTCTGTCTGAAGCCCTGGTTTCTTATGGTCAACTCCCCTTCACTTTTGCTTTATCCAAACAGAGAATTTAGATAGAAAATGGCTTTGAGGAAAATAAGGGAACCTCACCACCTGGTGCAAGCTCAAGGTATGTGTAAGGATTGCCTTCCATGATGCTACTCAAGCCTGCCAAGGCACCTCTGAAACTGCTGAGCTAGCCTCTCCCCAAGAGTCATTGTCTAAAAAAACAAAAAACAAAACAAAACAAAAACTTATTCTGCCCAGATGCATCTAATAAAACTGAACTAGCAGTTTTTTCCTCTATTCTTCAAGTGAGTCAAGTGAGGTGGTTTCATGGGGCAGAGTCCAATAACAATGGGCCAGAACGCCTCAGATCTTATTTAATTTTCAAAGATATCCAATATTTAATACTCATGCCCGTTAGGAAATAATTAACAGTTGGCCATAAAATTGTCATTCATAGTTGCCTCCTGCATCTTGAGCTTCATCTCTAAAGCTGAGAATGGAACACATAAGCATCCCTATTTTTAAACAAATTATGCAGTTGAAACATTACATGTGCATTGTATTTTTGAATTTCTAACCATAATGATGACTTGATATATTGTTTTCTCAGGGTCTTAATTTACAAACCACAGTTTTGAAATTTTTTTTTTCAACTCTGGAGGCTCTATTCATGATTTTCAATTGCCTGCCGGTGGATATGTCCCCAGCTAGCTATAACTGAATCACTTGGGGAAATTACAACACAAACACAAAAGGAATCCTGGGTCCCTCTCCAAAGATTCTGATTCAGTATGTCTGTGGTGAAGCCCAGGCATCAGCATTTTTTTTATAATTTTATTGAGAGATTCAAGAAGGCAGCTTAGATAAACACACCTAAACTGCTGCTGTGCACAACAATTTCAAAACTACAACTAACAGACAAAACGTCTATCCCCAAGAACCATGGGAAAGCTGGCTGAGAGGAAGCTCTACAACTAGACTGAGATAGAAAGGAGCATTCAAGGCACAAGCGCTGAAAATCTGAGGTACGGGGGCGCGTGTGCTATAAGGGCTGGTGGCGGATCCTGGCCGGAGGAGGGCATTGATTTCTTCAACCCAGAGAGATAAGCTCCCAATCTCTCTAAAATCCAGTTTCTGGAACAAAGGTGGACTGTCTGCCATCGGGTCATAAAGAGAGGGTGGCTTGCTTACAGAGCTGTGAGCAAGAATAATTGCTGTGCTGGGGCGTGAGATGCGGGGATGTGGTTAGAAAGGCGGAGACAGCTGACTGGCAGCCATTGCTATTTCCCATGCCCTAGCCTAGTGACACCCTGAGACTCCACCCCACACAATCTACAAATATAACCAAGCTCTAAACAGCGGCTTTTGCATATGAATGGCCTTCTTTATTGCAGTTTAATCTAGCAAACTTGCAACCTGGTACAGACAGCACCAAAGCCTCCAAGCTCCAAGCAGGGAGGAGAGGACTATGGTTCTCACTGTAGCTCCTGCAGGGTAACCTCAGACAGTAGCTGAACTGCACCCCATTGGAGATCCAGAAGACAGTGTATCTAATGGTTGGTGTGAGACACCAGATTTCAACTCCTCACATCCATAAGTGACACATTTGATCCCCCCCCCAAAACAAACAAACAAACAAACAAACAAACAACACACACACACACAAACCCAGCTGAAACTGGTTTGGCTCAGTGGATAGTCAGTGGATAGAGCGTTGGCCTGTGGACTGTAAGGTCCCAGGTTCTATTCTGGTCAAGAGCATGTACCACGGTTGCAGGCACATCCCCAGTAGGAGTTGTGCAAGAGGCAGCTAATCAATGTTTCTCTCTCATTGATGTTTCTAACTCTCTATCCCTCTTTTTTCCTCTCTGTAAAAAATCAATTAAAAATATATTTTAAAATAATAAAAAAAATAACAACAATATAAGTGACACATTTGGGAGACAGACTCAGTAAGCACCAAAGCCCCACTAAAACAAGGCCTGCATCATAAGCGTGTCCCCAGCACAATAGTTCTTCCATTATAGACATAGTGTGTCCTCACAGCCAGTTAGCCTGGAGGTCAATTCCTCCCAGTGCACCAACGGCAATCAAGGCTTAACTACACCAAGACTTTGCACTCATCCCACAAATGGGTGTTCCAAGAACAACCACCTCAGGTGATTGGGGAAGCTGAGCTACTGGCCCCTATAGGTCACTTACCACACAAAGCAACTCCATCAACCCAGGAAGGCAACCAAAATGCAGAGACGCAGAAGTATGTCACAAATGGGAGAGATAGAGGAAAGTAAACTACTGGATGACACAGAGTTCAGAATCACATTTATAAGGTTACTCAAGAGTCTTCTAAAAACCACTGAGAAACTTGAAGAGACCTTTAAGGACCTTAATGAGAATACAAAAAAAAAAAAATGGGAAAGGACCAGTCAGAAATTAAACATACACTGTCTGAAACAAAAAATATATAGAAACTCAATTGTAGATCAACGTACCCCAAGAGTCAAACCAAAGATCTGGAATATGAGAAAACAAAAAACACAACCAGAGAGGCAAAAAGAAAGAAGAATCCAAAAGTGTGTGGATAGTGTAAGGAGCTTCTGGGACAGCTTTAAGAGTACCAACATCTGGATTTTTGGGATGCCAAAAGAAGAGAGAGAACAGGATATCAAAGACCTATTGAAAGAAATAATGACAGAAAACTTTCCCTAACTGGTGAAAGAAATAGACTTACATGTCCAGGAAGCACACAGAACCCCAAACAAAAGGAATCCAAAGAGGACCACTCCAAGACAAATCATAATCAAAATGCCAAGGGCAAAAGACAAAGAGAATCTTGAAAGCAGCAAGAGAAAAACAGTTGGTTACCTACAAGGGAGTACCCATACGACCGTCAGCTGATTTCTCAACAGATATTATGCAGACCAGAAGGGAGTGGCATGAAATATTCAAAGTGATGAACAGCAAGAATCTACAACCAAGATTACTCTACCCAGCAAAGCTATCATTCAGAATTGAAGGTCAGATAAAGAGCTTCACAGACAAGAAAAAGCTAAAGGAGTTTATCACCACCAAATTAGAATTACATGAAATACTGAAGGGTATTCTTTAAGAAGAAGAATAAAAAGGTAAATGTAAAAACTATGAACATACCTACCAACAAGTGAATCTAAAAATCAAGTGAATAAAAAAATCTGAAGAACAGAATGGACTGGTGAATATAATAGAATCAGGGACATAGAAATGGAGTGGACTGACAATTCTCAGGGGGAAGGAGGTCTGAGGGTTATGAAAAGAGATTGGACAAAAATCTTATATCTATCGATGAAGACAGTGACGCGGGGTAAGGGAATGGGGTGGGGTGGGGAATCAGGTAGAGGGGAGCAACGGGGGGTAAAAAAGAGGAACACCTGTAATAATCTGAATAAAGATTTATTATATAAAATTTAAAAAATTTAAAAATCTTTATTGTTGAAAGTTTTACATATTTTCCCCATTGACCTCTTCCCACACATTCCTGCCTACCCCCCACACATCACCCTACTCCCATCACTTATTGTCTGTGTCCATTGTTTAGGCTCAGACATTAAAAGAGCATCTGGTGTTACTCCAGTTGCAATGAGGTAGATTCTCAATGGGTAGGGGCGAGTGATGTTCACCAGAATGATATTCTGTGCCAGGGTCTAGCTACCATCTGTTGAATGCTCACAAACCTTTGAGGCCGGGTAGGATTTCAGAGAGTCATCAGGGTGAGTTCAGCAGAGTTCTTTGGGCCCAAACAGAACAAGATTTGGCTGCGTGAAGGCTTCTGCACTATTCAGGCATGAGAGAGAAAAATGTTCCTTGTCCGAGAGCCACACAACTTAGTCTGTCCCAGATGCCACCTGGAGTCAGATCTCAGCAGAGTGGGGTCAACATTCAGGGCTCCATAAAATGATGGAAAACATAATTTAGCTGATGAACCTATTCAGGTTAGTATAGATAGGATGCTCAATCTCAAGGTTTCTATGACGGATGCCATAGATGGCCTCATTGTCAACCATTAAGGCACAATCAGAGCCCCAGGTAGTGTGGGTGGTGAGGATGGAGTTGTAGGGCTCAACTATAGCTGTGAAAACCTGTGGAGCTGGGTAGATGGAGAACTCTAGCTTGGATTTCTTGCCATAATTGACAGAGAAATGTTCCATCAGCAGGGAGATGAACCCAAGGTGTGGAAAGCCAGTAAGCCCGGAAGACCTGTGCACTGTTAAGTTTCTGAATTCAGTCCAAGATGAGTTTGATGATTTCCTTGCCAATAGTGTAGCATCCATTGGCATAGGTATTGGCAGCATTTTCCTCACCTGTGATGAGCTGCTCAGATTGGAAGAGCTGGCTATAGGTACCAGTGCAAACTTCATCAATGACTGTAGGTTCTAAGTCTACAAACACTGGCGTAGGCACATGATTGCCAGCCCCTCTCACTGAAGAAGTTGTTGAAGAATTATCTCCCATCCCACTCCCCAGTGGTCATGTCGCTTGGCATCTGGTCATCAGGCTGGATGTTATGATCCAGGTGGTAGAGCTCTCAGAAGGCATTGCTGATCTGGACACTAGCCTGGTCAACATGGATGGAAATACACTCACGCAGGATTTCTACTTTGCAGCTGCCTCGGTTGTGGGTTCAATTCCTGGCCTGGATGGGGCGCATGTGAAAGGTAACCAATCCATGTGTCTCTCTCACATTGATGTTTTTCTCTCTCTGTGTGTCTTCCCCCTCCATACTCTCTCTAAAAAAAAATCCTCAGGTTAGGATAATGTGTTTCCCTGGCTGAATGGCTTGGTTGGTTAGAGTATCTTCTGGTTTATCAAAAAGGTTGCAGATTCAATTCCCAGTCAGGGAATATACTAGATTTGGGTTTGATCCCTGGTTTGGGTGTGTAAGGAAGCACTATATACAATATATACATATATACAATATATACAATATATATAATATATACACTAAGTGGCCATGATATTTGAATGCATAATAATCTGGCCACTCAATACACATACACACACACACACACACACACACACACACACACACACACAATATATATACCGTATTTTCCGGCGTATAAGACGACTTTTGAAACGAAAAAAAGTCAACCAAAAATCAGGGGCAAAAGACCAAAATTGCACAAAAATTACCTGCAGATCTTGACGGCAAAGTAAGTCTTTTCTTTGAAGTGGGGGGTAGTCTTATACAGTGAATATAGGCCTAAACCTGTGTTTTAACTGTAAAATTAGGGGGTCATCTTATAAGCCAGAAAATACGGGGTGTGTGTGTCTATATATATATACATACATATATATATATATATATATGTATATATATATAGTGACCACCCCATCAGTACTTCGTTGGGCCATCTTTTGCCTTCAATACTGTGGCGATTCCTCTTGGCATTGATTCCATGAGATGTTGAAAGGTGATGCGAGGAATCTGACACTATGCCTGATGAAGAGCACTGTCCAGTTCTGTGAGATTTGGTGGTCGTGGAACCAGCTGCTCTTATAATTTCATCCCACAAATGCGCAATTGGATTGAGATATGGTGATTGTGGGGGCCACCTAAGCAAGGTAAATTCTCTCATGTTCTTGAAACCACTCCTGCACAATACAAGCACCATGGCATGGTGCATTGTCTTGTTGGAAGAAGCCATCCCCTTTGGGATACGCCATCAACATGATAGGATGAACTTGATCAGCAACGATACTTAGGTATGTTGTGCTATTCAGATGTTGTTCCACACGAATTAAAGGGCTCAAATCATGGGGCAGGAAAACATGCCCCAAACCATAACACTGCCCCCACCAGCTTGAAGGATTGTACTCATCCATGTAGGATGTATATTTTCATGCTGTTTCCACGAAATTCTCACTCTTCCATCTGAATGATGCAATTGGAAACATGATTCATCAGACCACATGACTTTTTTCCAATGCTACACTGTCCAATCCTTGTGTTCCTGTGCGAATTGGAGACGTTTTATCTTGGTAACTGCAGACAGCAAAGGTGTTCCAACAGGCCTTCAGCTTCCATATCCCATATGATGCCGTCTACGGCTAATTTGCCTACAAACGTCAGGTGGTCATAATAATCTGGCCACTTAGTGTGTGTACATATGATATATATAGTGTATGTGCCAATTAAATTAATCTAGCCAATTAAAAAGGCCCCAAAATAACTGGCAGGTTCATCCATGTCAACCAATTGCACATTCGTTACAGATACAAAAATTCTGTCATTTTCTTGAAGCTCATATATTCCACCTTGATAGATGGAATAGAGTCCATATTGTGAATCTTTAGACCAACAACTATTCCTAGCACTTTTCATCAGCAGTATAGGTTCAGCATAGCTTGTGAACTTATAAATATACTGTACCATTTGTTTGTTTTTCTTTTTGTTCCCTGCTGTTGAATCATCCGCAGTTTCCAGAAATCGAAAGTATGTTTGGGAATAGATATAATAAAAACCCGTTTGTTGGATAATTAACTCTCCTTTCCTCAGGTGAAAATTACTCAAGAATGAATGTCCTCTTCTTGATGACTCCCAGGAGGTTATTTTATGGCCCAAAATGTTTTCATCCTTTGAGTCTGGAGGAAGGTTAGAGAGAAAGAAAGTTTACAAAAAAGGAGGTTGTAGCAAAGGAAGGTGTTTCCAGCAGCTGTTGCTAGCCTATTTTTGGTTGGTACTGCAAAGGTTTCAATCAAACATAAAATTTCTTGCTCCTCTAATCTTACAAGGATTCCAAATTCTAGTCATAGTGAAATCTTAAGGCTTCTGTATTATTGAGGCCTGTTAGGAGTGCCTTATTTTTCTGTACCTCGCCTGCCACTCATACCACATCTGCAACACTTATCTCTGAATAGTAGCACAGGGGATGATTCACTGAGATGGCAATCTTTACTCCTGGGCAGAACTTCTGTCTCGAACCCCTACCTCCTGTGCTGGTGAGCTCAAAAGAACAGTATATAGGAAACCAAAAGAAACATATCTACTTTTTTAAGCCCGGAGCTCAGAACTTCTTGCTATTCCTTTGGATCACTTTGGATTCCCTCCTTGGCTTTTTTTTTTTTTTTTTTTTTTTTTAGCAATCCAAGGCACCATCCAAACTGAAGGCATCTCTAGTCTACAATTAGACAGAGCACAGGTTTGGCAAAGAGAGTCCAGATTTAAAGAGCTTTGTACTTTTAAGTCCTAGAGACTGAATGAAAAGGGGTCCTGCAAAATATGATATTCTTTAAACTTTGGGCTCATCTCCATGAATGATATAAAATTTAGGTATTTCAAGAGTTTAAAATAACTATCATATTGGTTTATGAGCAATAAACACTAATGTTGGAATAATGATCTCACTCGTATGCAAAACATGTTAATTATTTATAAAACACAAGTCCAGGAATATGATAGGAAGGCAACTACCTAGAAAAAAACAGAATAAACAAACCTCTGAAAACACTCCAATAATGCTTTCATCCATTAACTGCCTGAAATTTCTTAAACTTGGGACAAAACCTTTCCCAATAATAAAAAAGGGACTTCTTAATGAGTACTTACAATATACCAGGCATTTTGCATGTGTTACTATTTTATGAGGGAAAGATTATCTCTACTTTGTTTAAAGATTGTTTATACTTTATATAAGCAACTGAAGCTTAGTTTGGTTAAACAATTGGTTCAAAACATGTCTGGGTAAGGAGGGCTGGGATTTCAAAGTGGGTATTTAGACTACAAGACCAGTGCACTTAACTACAGCACTCTGTGGACATCTGCTCTGACAGTTAAAAATTAGCTTTAACGTATTTGGTTAAACTATGTGAAACTGACATTTTTGTAAGTAAAAAAAAAAATAGTCAAATATTGGCAACTTCCCACGGTTCAACCAAATATAATGTCACAAGAATGCCCAGTGACTCAGGGTGAAAGCAAATGAGGAACTTAGAACTTTGAAGAGAAAAAATTGGTCAAAGTGAGAAAGAGAAATTACTTTAAGAAGAAAAAAGCAAAAAATGGGAAACTCAAATATGACATTCTCCAACGTTATCGTTTCCCTGAGGCCAGTTGTTGTCAGGGCAGTAATTGAGCTATTTGTCTGATCATCTTGCTTCTGAAAAGAGTCAGCCTGAGATCTGATTCCTGCTGAGCACTTTGTAGATAACTATATACACATTTTAGGTACAAGTTAAAGGAATACATTATTTGGGACATAGTCTCCCATTGCCTTCCTTTGAAACCATATATTTGTTGTTTTTCTTACTTGAAAATGGGAGTGCGGCCATGCTCTGAATTTTCCCTGTTAGGTGAGCTGCAACTCTCTGAAGTCCTTTTCTAGTTATTAGCGGAGGAGCATCTTGTTGCTTCTCTAAAAGAGAAATGACAACGTATCGTTAGCACTTGTCCAACTACCTCTCATATTGCAGCTCACAGCTGTTGTCAATCAGGCCCTGTGAGCACACTGGGCTTCCAAAGTTGATCACATGGCTTTTCATAAAAATAGCCTACAGTTCACTGTGATGATCAGTTTACTTCAACTTAGGTTTAACTTGCAAAGTACTTTAGACGGGAAGAATAAGCAGTAACATGGGTTATAATTTATCAGTGTTTCAGAAGTCAATACTGTGAATATAACAAAATAAAGGTTATGGCCCTTTCCAAAAATACCCAAACAAACAAACAAACAAACAAACAAAAAACTGTGGACCTGCAATAATCATGTTGTGTCATTTAAAGTGCACAAATAACCAGGTATTGGCAAGTTTCCATTTTGAATTATATATGAATGATACCAATTTCATCATCTCTAATTTTTCTTATTTGCTAGCTATTAGTGATTCTTAAAGGAGTAGCAGTGGTAATCATTGTCCATAGATACTATAAGCTGGCATCTAACAGTCATTCCCCTCCCTTCCCCTGACTTCCCCAAAGGAACACGGATTGACATACCGATCACAATATCAATACCTGAGCATCTAAATCACGAATTCACTACATCTTAACAAACAAATAACTTATTGACCAGCGACCAAGTACTTAAAAATTACAGACTGAACAAAAAACTCTTAAAAAATCAGTCCGAACTTCCCAAATGTGCGAACACTGGTTTTTAAAACACAAGGCAGTGCACTAGGTCCCTCAGAGGCATCAAAGATTAATCACTGATGACACTGACTGAGTCCTTAAGGGACTTAAACAGTCTTTGGGGAAAGATATGAATTAGAAAGTAAAAATTTATCTGTTAGAAAAGGAAATAAAGGGTGATGGCTCTTCAGAGGGAAAGATTTCCTACTTATTGGGAAGCTGAGGCCGGGGGAGTATTTGTGCTAAGGCCCCTTCCATTCACTTAAACAAACCAAAGTGCCCATCATGTCTATGACAGGCACTCTTCCAGGGACAAGAAAAAAAGAATTATAAGCAAACAGGCCCAACAAAGTGCAAGAATAATGATCTAAACAGGGTGAAGATGGGCTGGTTTGGGGTCCAATAGAATGGAAAGAGGCTCAACGCAGGGTACACACAACATTCCTGGGACAAAGGCATGAGGGGAATTCAGTTTTGGGTTTGAATGAGCCAAAGTATAGAGGATTTGAGTGTCAGACTAAAAGATTTGGATTTTATAGGGTGCGGGAAAACTCTAAAAGGTTTTGGTCAGGAAAGTGAAGAGATATGTTTTGTGCTTTAGGCTAATCTGTCTCTCAGACTAAGGTTGGATGGATAGAAGATGAGAGGGCTGGAAACTGGCAAATTAATCAGACTATTATTACTGTGAGAATAGTAAGCTTTAATCTAGGCCAGTAGAAGAGGAAGCTAAGAGGTGATAAAATCCAATAGGGGAAAATGAATGGGACATAGAAATCTTTCCTCATTTCTTCTAATTTTGTATTAATTGTTACTTATTCAGGATGGGTGGGCATCTATAAGGCACTGAAGACCAAACATGACATGGAGATGCATAGTCATTTATATTTTATTCTCAGGATTCTCAGCTTTCAAGGTGATGTGTCCATTTACTTATAAGCTCCCTTGTTAAATAATTCATAATGCTTTGCCTGTCCTAGACCTCACCACTTTGTTTTTAAGTATTCAATAACAAAATCCAATTATAAATATCTTGCATTTGAAGTCATTGAAAGGATATGGGAAAGCCAAGCTTTGAAAGCAAATTCTAAAAAGAAATTTTCATCTGGCTATAGCAAACACATCCCAGGAAAGGAAACTTGCAAATATGCATAGTTGAGTGTCATGGCTATGTCTGGGTATACTGAGAAGGACCTGATTTCTATCCTTATTGGGATGAGTAAAATATATTTTTCTTCCAATACTGAACATAGCACATGTATGTACTGTAGACGATGGATCTGCTGTGCTTCATCAGAAGAGTTGAGTTAGGTGCCAACACCAACTTTTGCCTTTGGGGAAATGATCAGATGCTTGTACCCTAGGACAAGGTTTTGCCCTCTCTGCCAGTTGATGTGCTCCAGTATATGTACTCAGGCCTGTGTGGCGATTAATATGGAAAAATGGGGCTATAGGGAACCAGGCGCAAAAAAGTAATCAATTTACACTAATAATTTTTTCTGCATATTTATTCAATCAAAATATATGTATGGAGAACCTTCTATGTAGAGAGAGATGGTATTGATACAACATTGTGCATGTACTAACTACCATTGAATTGTGCTATTTATTTATTTATTTATAATATATTTTCATTGATTTCAGAGAGGAAGGAAGAGGAAGAGAGAGATAGAAACAATAACACTGAGAGAGAATCATTGATCTGCTTCCTCCTGCATGCCCCACACTGGGGGTCAAGCCTGAAACCCAGGCGTGTGCTCTGACCAGGAATCAAACCATGGCCCCCTGGTTCATAGGTCGATGCTCAACCACTGAGCCACACTGGCTGAGCTGAATTCTGCTCTGTAAATTGTTGTTTGCTATGTGAATTTCATCTCAATCAAAACACACACACAAACACACACATTATATGCATATATGCAAAGCCCATGGACACAGACAACAGTGAGGTGAAGGCTGAGTGGAGGTGGGCAAAGGGGAGAAATGGAGGACAACTGTAATACTTTCAACAACAAAAGTATATATTTTAAAAGAACCTTCTATATAGAAAGAGATGGTGTTGGCACAACATTATAAATGCACTCACTACCACTGAATTGTACTCATTAATGGTTAATTGTTATGTGAATTTTGTGTCAGTCAAAACACACACACACACACACACACACACACACACACACACACACACACTGAAGATGGTACAGACAAGGGCTGGGCATAGAGAGGTGGGGGAAACAGACACATGTTCTGTCTTTGTGAATCTCTGATCTAGTAAGGAATCAGACACAGAGATAATATATATAAATGAACAAGGTAAGTGTGATAGAGATAACAGGGTGCAGGGAACTTACTAAAAAGATGACCAGGGAAGGTCTGGCAATTAGGTGATGGGAATGGAGAATGAGAAGGAACCCGTTATTTCATTTATTTAGAGACAAAAGAAGCCAGCCTGGGCAGCAGCACTGAAGAGAGTGTGGGTCGAGAGAAGGCTGCTGATCATGAACAGGAAGAGAGATTGCTGTGGCACAGAGTCCATAAGATGAGATTTGTGGGCGGGTAGGAGGATTGTTGGGAAAGGGATGAGGGAATGAGGCGTTTCTGTATAAGGAGCTCTCTTTATGCCATAGAGCCTGTGGTGGTCAGAAGCAGAGGGGATGGGTAATGTGGGGTCCTTATTTATCTTACTTTCAGCCAGTTCTAGAAAGGATTTAGATGGCTTATTTACAACACATTAGAAGGTTAAAAAATAAAACAATTAAAGAAATTGAGGGGAAAGGAAAATCCAATAAGATTCAACTGAAGAAAAAAAAAAGTTCTGGCCATAGGTGGGCCACAGGATTGGTTCTGAGCTTTCTAGCTCTCAATGCAAAAAGGGAAATAAAATCAAGTAGCTTGAAATGCTGAGCAGCTGAGCAGATGTGTGCATGGAGCAGAAAGGAAGGGGATGGAGAGGCTGTCACCCTGCCATGAAGTGGAGAGTAGAAAGTTAAAATAGAAATACTACCTGGAACTGCAGAAATGGCTTCAGGATAGGTTTTCAAACTTATCTGCAAATAATATTAAAAAGGTTGTTAATTTCCCTAAAAATTTAAAACTGACTCTAGAATGTCTATGGCTCTTTTCACTGATGTCTATCAGGGCATTTTTATGGATGGTGACAACGTAGGAATCAGAGTGAATATTGAAGCAGCCATCCCCATGTGGTGATCAAAGAATGGTCCTCTGTGTTGGAAACTTCTGTTTCTGGATAAAGTTTTTGAAAGTCCACATCTGCAGCAGCACAGGAAGAAGGAGCCACCTGCCGAGTTAGGTCAGCTGAGTCTCACCCAGACCCCTTTGTGGCTGGCGGATGTAGTGGACATGTCACCTCATTTCCTCTATGGTGTGTGTGTGTGTGTGTGTGTGTGTGTGTGTGTGTGTGTGTGTGTGTGTGTGTGTGAAGGGCTCTGTGTAATAGAGTCCAGGGGCTTTAAGTGATTGGACAGCCCCAAGCCTCTCTCTCTGGGTGCCCACAGACAACCACAGCTCATTAAGATGTGACCTGACCACACCATATCCTGCTCTCATTTCTGAGAATGTGCTGAGGCATTAACATGAAGGTATTTTACCAACTTTCCATACCTTTACCAAAACTCTAGCATGACCCTCTTTGTACTTACCAGTGGGGGGAAAAAAACTGTAATAAAGAGCAAACACTGAGCCTTCCTGTGAATTAAACAGGTCTTGTCTTGGCTCAACCACAGCTTCTAAATTCCCCTCCATTGGATTCTGTCACCAGGGGATTTTGTCCATCACTGCCCTCCTTTCCCATCACTGTTGTTAATTGGGCAATTACCAGAAATTCCCTTCCCCTGTACTCCCATCCCAACTCAGAAGCTCTCTGCTTCTGCATCTGCCTCAAGCTCTGACTCCAGGTGATTAGGGGATGCCTGCAGTCCAATGGACACTGATACAGGTAGGGAAAGCAAGAGATGGCTTCAGCAATATTCTCTCTCTCTCTCTCTCTCTCTCTCTCTCTCTCTCTCTCTCTCTCTCTCTCTCTCTCTCTCTCTCTGTCATTCTGGAACAGAAGGGAAGGAAGAAAGAGGATCAGCAGAAAAGAGAGAGGGTAATTCCTACAGTGTGGGAGGCAAAAACCAATAATAATTACAGTATGTTCAGGTGGCCTGGATTCAAACCTGTCAATTGTTAGCTCTGGGAAATTTTCTCAAGTCACTTAACTGATATAAACTTTAACTCCTTCATCTGTTTTTTGTTTTGTTTTGTTTTGCTTTATTTTGTTTTGTTTTTAAAGAAAGAGGATAATGATTTCTATCTCATAAAGCTATTAAGCACCACGTCCTGGACTCCCAATCATGCCAGTAAAATACTTCCTCTTCCGTGCTGAGAATGTCCCCAGGATTTTTTAAACAATCCCGGTGCTTACTTCTTTTCAGATTATTTACATATCTGTGTCCTCCTCTGACTTTTCTGAGAAGTTGAAAGTAAATTAATAAATGCTTTCTTGCCAAGAAGGAAGAGCCCAAGAGAAGAAACACAATTATGTAACTTTTGGGCTTCCTTCCCCTGGCTTCACTCCCAGCCACCTGGGAGCCAGCAAGTCCTTGCACGCAGCCTCCCTGGAGCCAGCAAGTCCTGGCTCAGGTAGCTCTCTCCCCCGCCCTCCTTCCCTGCATATCAGGCTTCACCCTGTACCTGTTAGTTACATACTGGTTCTGGCTAGAGATCCTGTTTTAGCAACTTCCATAGACAGAAAATACTATAATTTGTCATTTGCTAACTGCAAATTGAGATGTCAACTTCAATTTCTCAAAGTATCTCTCTTCCCCGACCCTTTCTTCTCTGAGATCAACATGTGGGAAGAATATAAAACACCATTAATTGGCCTCTTTCATATTCTGAATAAAAGAACACACACACCCTTCATTGTTTTCTGACTTTGAACACATTGCTCTGCCTGTGCCTCCATTTCTACAACATAGGATACAAAGATTAGATGGGATGGGGAGATTGTCTAGAGTAGAGACATGAACTATAGACCGAAAGTTGACTAAGGCCCACTGTTTGGTGCTGTTCTGCCTTTCTGCAGTTCTATGAATTTAGGGAAAATCGCTTAAGCACTCTGGGCCTCAGTTTCCCCTTTTGCAAAACGAACAGTCTAGACGTGACAATCTTAAATATCCCCTCTCCTCTGACCTTCCATGAAAAGCTGGTGAAGTCACCCGAGAGTCCACCTACCTTTCTAACAAACTGTCGTAGCTGCCACTTTGCTTGCCAGCAGGGATTGTTCATATTCTCATCACTGTAGTCCCAAGAGGTGTCATCTTCCTTTAAGAAGCAAGCAATGGTCGATTTGAAGTACTTGTCCTGCGTCTAGGACAAGATGGAATATGACACACATTATTAATTAAGAAATTACATATGTGTCCTCATCCCTCCATTAACCCCCCCAACCCACCCACTCCCACTCATGCCGTCACCCCCCCTGGTGTTCAGGTCCATTGGTTAGGCTTATATTCATGCATACAAGACTTTTGGTTGACCTCTCCTCCTTTTGCCCACCCTCCCCTACCTTCCCTCTGAGGTCTGGCAGTATGGTCGATGCTTCTCTGCCTCTGGATCTGCCCCTGTTCATCAGTTTGTGTTGTTCATTATATTTATCAACAAAGTCCTTGCTTGATGTTAAACCCAGATGCCCTTACACGCTCGCACACAAGCATATATTCACAAATTCCTAACCATGCAGAGCACTTGAGGCTGATACTGATCTTACAAAACAGGAAACTCACACAAGGTTGCAAGGTTTGAGGGTAGTTTGTGTGTGTGGGGGGAGGCGGGGGGGGGTTTGTGTGTGGGGGTTTTTTTTTGTGTTTTTTTTTTGGTGTCTTATTGCCTGGTTTTATTTTTAACTATTGAAGTTAAAAATACGTTATTTTGCAGTACAATGGCCTTTTTGTTTTTTCCTGCTACTTGAACTTAGGAAGATTCCAAAGCATGAAGGAAGGATCACACTTAAGGATAACCCTCTTATTGCAAATAGAAATGACTTAACCGTCTGAGAGAGGTTCCAGCCAGAGTCATTTGACCAAGGTCCCTCAAGTGCAAAAGCATAAACCTGAATTAATTCACTCTGCCACCCACTGTGGCATTGGCATTCATTTGCTTTTAAATGTTTATTTTCTTTCTTCCTTCATTTAATTACAAGAGGAAAACATTCTTCTGGTCAATGTCATGGAGGTGACCACTGGGGCCCCCTGAGCTGACAATGGAATTAGATGCTACTTTGCCCCTGCTCACCTTGCACTTTTCTATAGACATCTACACTGAGTGGCCAGA